AGTGATGGAATCAGGAGGGCACAGGGCATAAGAGTGAGTTTTATTCAGTACCTTGATATGCATGATAAGAAATTATTATTTCTAAAACCATAAAATGTTGACGACATTATCTTCAGACAAACCAGCTCAAGAGTCCTTTCGTACTTTTGTACTGCCTGGCACAGAGCCTCTGCTCAACAAAGTCAGCTATTATTATTACCTATTATTCCATGGCAGGTCCTGCATCCCTTATTGAGTAGGAGAGACTCCTCCAAGGATTAATAATAATTTAGAAACCATTTACTGAGTGCCTTCTTTGTGCCAGACACTATTCTGGACGTGGTTCAAGCAGACTCTCATTGAATGCTCACCAAAAAAAAACTATGACATACGTACTATTTTCCCCATTTTAAAGATATAAACTAAGGGTCACAGAGCTGAAATTATTTTACCAAGATCAATGGAGCTGTAAGTGTCAGCACTGGATTTTGACACTGAGTTTTTTCTGGCTCCAAAGTCTAGGTTCTTTTCTCAGCATTGCACCATAGAATTTGAGGTTTTGTGTAAAGTAATGGAAATGGAAACAGTCATTACATCCTAAGGGAATGATCTGGGTGGAGGCATGGACAGAATTATCAGTATATCCCTGACTAGGGAGGTAAGTAGAGCAATGGAAATGCCCTCAGCTACCTGCACCAGGGGCTTACAAGGACACTTGTGCTTAACACTTTCATGCAATGACTCTTTAATCCATTTGCTGTTAATCCTTTTGTTGTGGTTGTAGTTAACTCTTATTCATTTTAAGGATTTCTTAAAACTTATTACAACAAATCTATGTGGTTGGTACTAATATCCCAGTTTACGGATAAGGAAACTGAGCCACAGAGAAGGAAAATGACACACCCAAGGTCACCTCATGAGTAACTGGCAGAGTCAGGACCTGAACTCAGGTATGACTGACTTCAGAATCCACACTCTTAACCACCATTGTCTCTGGGCATGATCCTTAAATTGCCCAAGTCCCATTTGTAGCTGGAGGGCACTAAGGCAGCCAGGGACCTGGGGCAGGCAATAAATGAGGTCTGTTCTCCTACTGAGGTCATCTGTGACTCTGAACTACAGTGAGACCCACAGGTCTTTTCTGAAGTCCAGTGTGATGGCCTCCAGGGATTCTGTTCCACAGTGGTCCCCTGGGTCAACAGGACCTTCAGTAGTTTGACCAGAGATTCTTTCCCCTCAATGAAGAGTGAAGTCTATTTCTTTACCACTTGAATTTGGGCTTGACCATGAGACTACTTGATCCAGTGGTACATTATCAAACATGATGCACAGGCTGAAAAAGCACTGATGCACTGGGACTCTTGGAACCCTGAAACCTCAGGTGAACAAGGCAGAGCTAGCCAGCTGGAGGATGAGAGGCCATGTGGAGGAGAGCCAAGGCACCCAGGCCACCAACCGGCTCACTGACAGTCACGTGAATGGGGCCATCCTAGATCAACCAGCCACCAGACATCCACAGACACAAGCGAGAATCCCTTAATTTTTGTGCCCAAGACAAGTACCTCACTTGACTCATCCTAGTCCCAGCCCTCAGAGACAAGTCCTCTCTTTCTTGTTCTGAGAAGATCTCTCAGGACACTGTGTATGTGGTCAGTATTCTAAGTGCTGGGTAACTGTAATGTCCATATGTAATGCTTACGGCAATACCAGAGACTTGGTCTCCCTGAGAGGTCAAAGAGACAGCAGGATTGAGCGTTTCCAAGCAGATGAGACCAAGAACCAGGAGGATGCCTACAGATGACCAGAAGTACCACGCAGGAACTCTGCTGTGTTTTGAGGTCCCCCAGTGGTGGGTGCCCATATGTATTGCCTGTTCCCATGGGCACTGAATGGTTGGGTCAGTAGCTGGGTTCACTGGGACAAAGCCTGATTCATAAAATTCCCTCAGGTAGCCTAATATGCCATGATAGAGACCTAGGAGGATGCCAACCACACAAAGATCTACCAATATCCAGAATATTCCCTGACTCAGACTGGACTTGGAATAGCAGAACGTAGAGGACAAAACCTAGCACATTCCTTGTTCATGGATGGAGACTGTGCTTTTCTACTCCATGAGCCTGCTGCATGCCAGCTCCTGCGAGGTCACAGAGGAGGAAGGCACTCCTCCATACCTCAGAGAGCCTGGCCAGGTTGGCAAGTAGGTGTGGCCAGATCTCTAATCACGTCTCCACCCATGGACAGAAAAAGGTCAATGAACCAAGTCAAGTCAGTTCAGGAGTCTGGACCAATTCATCATCCTCAGTGCCAACCGGCCTTCTTGGAACTGTGTCCAGAGATAGAATCATTTCAGGTAGGCTGCCAAATCCTATGCATGCTGGCTGCAGGCAGTACTGCCTGCTCTCCCCGTGCCCAAGGCAATGAACGGCTGCACGGCTCCATTCACAAAGAGCAGGGTCTCCTACAACTTATGGCGCCTACACACTCCTAGGAAGGACAACTGCCAGGTGGCAGGCAGAGGACCCATTCATTCTTCAGACATATTTGGTAGACATCTGTCCTTGCTGTCTGCCCAGCATGTATTCACTGTAATTCATCAGCACTGTCATTATCATCTTCACATACGTACCAGACACTGTCTTATATGTATACACTGGATACTCGTAGCAAAGTTAGATGGTAGGGTTTTATTCATTTTCAGCTGAGGAATATAAAGCACAAGGGAGTTAAGTACTCTGCCCAAGGTTACACATGTCTAGGCTCCATCCACAGCCTACGATTTTAACCAGTACACAATACTGCTTCTCTAGTTCTCCTCTGAGGGACCACCTCTCCCCCACTCTCAAATCATGGGGTAGGCACACCGGCCCTTCTCGCCAGGAGTAAGCACATAACCAGGCCTGCCAATTAGCATAACCATCCTCTGGTTACATATGACCCAGGGTCCAATGAGACTTTAGCTCTTGTCACTGGAACTGCAGCACTGACAAGACATTATGACTAAAGGTACCACAGCCATCATGCTGTCGTTAGGAGAAAAATCTTCTTGAAACAAACCAGGACAGAGGAAGGCTGGGCCAAGACATGGAGAAAGAGATTCCTGAAGACCTCATTTCGGCCCCTTGATTCACTGTGTCTGAAGCCAGTCTACCCTTGGAGCTTTTCAGTTTCAGGGACCAAAATTTCCCTTTTCACATAAAACAGTTTGAGCTCTTTCTATCTTAGGCAACATAAAAAGTCAATGCATAAAGACAGGATATGGGAAACACCATCCTCTTGGCTGCTCTTTGAGTACCAAGCCTTGGTCTGCATGAACATTCAGAGCTTGCATAATGGAGCCATGCTGTCCCCCCAATCTTCCCTGCCTGCTTTCCTGGGGACAAGAGATGGAATTGCACTAAAAGGGTCAGGGAGTGTGATCTGAGAGAACATGAAGAATGGTCCCATCTTTGTCTCTGCAAAGAAGCCTGTGAAGGCTTTGGTTGTTCTCTGATGCCTGGAGTTTTTAAACCCAAGTACCACAGTCTCCAAGGAAAGCAACTTCAGTATTAGCTCTAGAGTGTGCGTGGTATGCCCCTGATTTGCAGCCAAATGGCAGATGACCACTTATAGAAGGCCAGCAAGAACATATGCAATAACAGAGGTAGTTATCACCACCCACTTCACGCAACCTCAGGTCAGATGTCAAGTCTAAGGGACCAGGACAGGACCAGTGGGAGACAAAGCCAATGGGGAAAATTCCAGGAAGGTGAACTAAAGCAGGAACAAAATAAGAGAACCAGGGGTGACAGCTACACAGAGGGTACGCTGAACGCAGTTCATGACTGGGCCAATGGAAGAGTGTGCATGGTGGAAGGTCCAGGACAGTTTCAGCTCCATGGAAAAGAATAACGCAAACAATGAGACTTTACCAATAAGAGGTGCTTCTTATCTCACATACAGAGTCTGGGCATAAGAGAACTCAGCGTTGGCTCAGCAGCTCACCAATGTCATCGATGACCCAGATCCCTTCAACTCTTCCACCCTGCCATGCTCAGGATGTCAGCCGTGTCTCCCTCATTGACTCAAACAGTTGCCACAATTCTGTGCATTATATCCTCCCACAAAAATGTCCAACAGAACAAAGTAAGGAGTGTCTTCCTTTATCAGAAAGGAAAGTCTTCCTAGAAGCCCTGCCCAGACTTCCCTGCAGTTCCCACTGAGCAGAATTGGGTCACGTGCTACACTAGCTACAAGGGAGCCTGGGAAAACAAGTATCAGGCATCTTCAGCTTTTAGCAGGAGAAGTGGCCTCTGCCAGTAAAAGAGTGGGGGTTAGGAATGGCTGTTGGGTAGGCAATCCACATGGTACCCCAAACTTTTGGTAAACTTGCACCAAGACTTTGCCATATCCTTAGAGCACTCACACTGCCATTCACTTAATATTCTCCTTGAGTCTCTTTATTTTTTATTTAACCTAACTACCTTTACCTAGATAGGAAATTTTATATCCCCACCATAAATGCAAAAGCATTACTAGACACATTTTCCAATCCATATTAAAATAAATCCATAATGATCAAAACAAAAACTGCCAGGTTTACCCAGAAGTATCCCTTGTCCCACCAGCAGTAATCATATTTTGGGGGTACACAGTAGCAGGATAAGCTCACTTCTTCCTAATTCTTGGGCCCTAGTACAAAAAATTCCCTACCAAAGAGCTAAAAAGTACACCGTAAGGTACCATCCTAACTGCCTTTTTATAGTAGCCATAAAAATTTAGCCGCTGCCCACCACTCTCATGCCTCAGCCATAAACATGAAGACATTTTGCAGAATCACAGTAGGGAAACTAGCTGGTTTCTTGAAGTCACACACCCCTCTCAAAATGTTTTGTTGTTTTGTTCTTTCCCATTAAAACGAAAATCGTCTCAGAGGCTATAGGACCATGACATCCTGACTTTTCTGTCTCAGTGTACTCACAGATACCCAAAAGGATGCACTGACTGTGGACAGAGAGAGGTGACCAGGGCCCGTTACTTACATCGGAGGCTGGACCCTTGTCAGCACCTGGGCAGGAGAAAGTGACAAACTCATGGCACCGCTTGTGCACGACAAAACAGCAGACTGCAAAAGAGAAAATAAGGGTAGGAGTGGGGGAAAAGGAAAGTGGAGAGTAGGAAAGGAGGGGAAGAGAGGAAGAAATCGTTAAACCTGGACTTCCCAACAAGTAAAGGCTTTATACCAACATAAACAATGCTTTCAGCTTCTGCACCTTGTCTTTTATTGAAGTCAAACTCTTGGGTACACGGATGTTACAACTTGCAAATTACTTCGCTTGTAATGTTAACTAGGGTTCAAAAGATCACATATGCTCAAAATTACACTTTAGTGAAGATCGCTTAAGTTGTATGATCTTCCACTACTTTTGGAACAGAATGTTGTTTTTCAGATCGGGCACCACAGGAAGCTAGCTGTTGGCTTGTGTTCAGGTCCATAACGCTTATGAAGTATGTACATTTAATCACTAGAATCACACTTAGAGAGATGCATAATGTGAAGGGCATGTAGAAGAAGAGTGAGCAGGAACGGCGGGCCCACACCTGCATCTCACCCAGGAGCAACCATCAACTAAGTGGAAGAAACAGGCTACATGTTTACATTGTTACTTTAGCAGTTTGAAACCAAATGTGTACATACATATGTTTGAATTTGTATGCGTTAAACGCTCCACTATTTGGGGACTATATTACTTAGGGGGAGGGACAATTAGAGAATACATACAAAATAAAACTATTTTTTGTTGTTGTTCAAATCTATTTTTATAAACTCTAGACTGTGGACTCCTGGAGGATGGGCACCATGCTCAGAATCTTTCTAAAGGACATTCTCAGTAAATGAAAACAGGACAGGAAACCTCAAGGTTACCACTAGTGATATAATGGACCTGGGCAACAATCATCAATGCTGCCAACATCAGAAAAAGACACTACCTGCCTGCTGGTGAAAGTGCTATGAAGAATCCTACCACCTGTGAAGTATTCTTGCCAAAATAATCACACCTGAATCAGTTCAAGAATCTTCACCCAACTACCAATTTACCGCAACTACAAGTGACAGACGCATTTTAAATGACACCACAGAGAGGCAATGAGAAAAAAAAAATTTTTAATACACAAGAATGTGATAAGCTACAAGACGTTTTTTCAACAAATAAACTGGAAGAGGAGAGGAGAGCATCTGTCCTCTTCTGGACGATACTGTAGCGACGGCTGCATTTAGAGAATATATAAAACAAAAAGTGAGCCCTAGTATAAACAATGGCTTTTAATTAATAACAATGTATCACTATTGGCTCATCAATTGTAATAAATGTACCACACTAATGCAAGATTCTTTACAAGCACTGTACATATATTAATTCATTTAATACTCCTAACGATTCTAAGGCACGCCATTTCATTTTTTTTTACATTCTTTTTTGTTAATATTCTTTTCCATTATGGTTTGCCATAGGATATTGAATATAGTTGTCTTCATTTTTTTAATTGAGATATAATTGATATAACATTATATTAGTTTCAGGTGTACAACATAATGATCCTATATATATACACATACATATATATATATATATATATATATATGACCACAGCAAAATGATCATCACTGTTAAGTCAACATCCATCCATCACCAAAAATAGTTTTAATTTTTTTTCTTGTAATAAGATCTTTTATCTACTCTCTTAGCAACTTTCAAATATACACTACAGTACTATGAACTATAATCAACTCTCTATATATTACATCCCCAGAACTTTTTATTTTGACCACTTTCACCCGTTTCACTCACTCCCCACCCCCACCTCTGGCAACCACCAATCTGTTCTCTGTATCTACAAGTTCGCTTTTTAGTTTTGGTTTGGTTTGGTTTTTGTTTTAGATTCCAGATATAAGTGAGTTCATATGGTATTTCTCTTTCTCTTTTTGATTTATTTCACTTGCAAATGTTAATAACAGGGGGAACCAGGGTGGAAATGGGGTTGACGGAGTATATGGAAACTCTGTATTTTCCAATCAATTTTTCTATATGCCTAAAACTGCTCAAAACAACAACAAACAAACAAACAAAAATGGAAAACTGCAAGAGGAAAGTAGCAGGGCCGAGGAGAAACATACATTCAAAGAGATTTAAGAAACATATCACTAAATGCAATATGTAGACCTCGTTTGGATCCTAATTTAAACAAACTAATAGTTTTTTAAAATTATGAGACAATCAGAAAAGTAGATATATTCACTTTTTGATGGTATGAGAGAATCATTGTTATTGATATTAGGGAATTATAATTTTTGATGTAATAATGGTATTATGATTATTTTTCTTAAAGAATACTTTCCTCTAAGAATACATCCTATAATCTTTATGGATAAGGTGATTCTATTCAAAATAATTCAGTGTGACATAAAGGAGATAGAAAGGGGAGGGTTATAGATGGGAAAAAAAAATGAGTCTTGACTGATCATTACTGAACCTGGCTGATGGACACAGAAGGATTCATTATACTAATCTCTCTACTTTTACGTATATTTTCTGTAATAAAAACATTTTAAACGCTCGTGGTTTAAAACAAGAGTTCCAAAGGGGCCAACTGCTTTCTCCTTTGCTTTCTCCCCTTTCTGTTTTAGTATTTACTGTATTTTATAAATAATATATGCTTTGTCTGAAGACATTTGTATCAAACAGTGTGTGCTGTGTGTGGGGGGGGGGGTGGGTGGTCCCTCTCTGTGCCTGTATATCTGTGACTGCTGAGAGAAATACATGAGCAGTGGCCAAAAAATGCCACTGATGGTTATCTCTGGGCAGTAGGACTACAGATTATTTTTACTTACAATCTTACATCTGTATTGTTTGAAATGTTGACAGTGAGTATTAACTATATAATCAGGGAAAATAAGCCCACTTTCATTTTGAAACAAAATGAAGAGTCAAAGAAAAACAAAGGTCAGGAAATGAAAAATATGACTGCCCAAATTGGAAACTCAGTGGTTGGGCTGATATAGAATGGAGACAGCTAAAGAGGAACTTAGCAAACTGGAGTCTAAATTGAGTGATTTTCCCTGAATTCTGCAAAAAGGCAAGAAAAAATAAAAGAAACGATACAAAACTGTAGGATAGATCCCAAAATTCTAACAACCATATAGAAGGATACTCAGGAAAGAACAGAGAGAACGGTAAAGAATGTGTAATTAAAGAAAATAGAAGGAAGTCCTCTAAAGATTAAGAAGAATTTGAGTCATTAAATTGAAAGAAACTATCAAGTGTCAATAGATGTGAATGAAAAAAACAACTAATGGTGAGGATTTTCAAGGCTCTGAGATCATTGTGAGGACGCGTCCAGCAGTGGCAGGAAGAGAAGAGGAGAAAGATTACTGACAAAGGAACAAAAATAATTTTAACACCAGATTTCTTGTCTGCAACTTTGAATTCTAGAATACAATGGAGCAATGTCTTCAAAGGTTTAGAAAAAGTCATTTGAACCTAAAACCCCATACATAGCCAAACTAGCATTCAAGTGAAAGTACAAAATAAAGACATTTCCAGAATATAAGAACTTGGAAAATTTACTTCCCACAAAAGAAGTAATAGAGAATATACACTCCGCAAAACAACAACAAAATGAATGAATGGGGCATAACAAACAGTGGTGAAAGAGAGAACAAAAAGAAAAGCGGGGCGGGGGAAGAGAGACTTAAGTCATAAGAGATGGGGTTGGGAAAAAGACTATAAAATTGCAATATGCTAAGAGTCTTGTCTTATTCCTCAGGAGTTTATAGGTATTGAGAAACCGCATTTAGGACATTATAAGTTTGAATATGTGTGTTAACAATTAGGAATAAGAACAGAAGTATTATATATAACTTGCAGACCACTAAAAGAAAAAAATGGACAAAGAAAACTTAATCCAACTACACTTCAAAAGGCCTTCCCACATGACCCAAATTCCCATAAATACAATTCTTTTTCTTTAACTTTTATATGGCATCATTTGCACTTTAAACTCTTTTATCATCTGTAATTTCTTGGGTATCTGAAATGACATGGGAATCTAATTTGCCATTTTTTCCAAATAGGTAATCAATTGTGCCAGCATCTTTTACTGAATAATTCATCCCCTCTCCACTGATCTCAAATGCCAACTTTATTATATGCTAAATAATTATATACCCTGGGGTCTGTCTTTGGGCCTTCTGTTCTGTTCCACTGATCTGTCTTATAATAAAGCAATATGGGATTTAATTATAGTACCTTTATAACATGTTATATCTTGGTTGGGCAAGTCCTCCCTCAGTATCCTTATTTTCAACATTTTCTTGGCAGTCACGGAGAGTTCCAAGTGAACTTTAGAATCGGTTTATCAAGCTTTTAAAAATACCGATGGAGGGACTTCCCTGCTGGTGCAGGGGTTAAGAATCCACCTGCCAGTGCAGGAGACACAGGTTCGAGCCCTGGTCCGGGAAGATCCCATATGCCGCAGAGCAACTAAGCCCGTGCGCCACAACTACTGAGCCTGTGCTCTAGAGCCCGCGAGCCACAACTACAGAGCCCACGTGCCACAAATACTGAAGCCCGCGCACCTAGAGCCCATGCTCCGCAACAAGAGAAGCCACTGCCAAGAGAAGTCCCTTGCACCACAATGAAGAGTAACCCCCACTCGCTGCAACTAGAGAAAGCCTGCACACAGCAACGAAGACCCAACACAGCCATAAATAAATAAACAAACAAATAAATAAACCGATGTAATTTTTATTGGAATTGTATTTAGTAAATTTCCCACCCCCAGAAAAAAAAATTTATTGGGACTTTGGTAATTAACACTTTCATAACGATGAGTCTTTCTAGCAGGAATAGGGTGTCCCTTTGTTAAAATTTTATTTTATGTCTCCCAATAAAGTCTTAATTTTCTCTATAGTTCTACAAATTTCTCACTTAGTATTATCTGAGAGGTCCTTTTTCTACGCTATTATGATTTTTGAAATCTTTCGCATTTTGTTTTCCAAGTGGTTATCGTTTACAAATAGGAAAGAAATAAACTTTCAGTGTATTTATTTTGTAAGTATTTTTT